GAGGCTTTTTTCTTTCTCTCTCTTTTTTTTTTTTAAAGCCAGCTTTCATCCGATTGGCTGCCTTGTACAAACAGAAGATTTAAATGGAAGGTGGGCAGGCTTTCAGTTCACACCCAGAGCCTTGTGGCCAAGATGAATATATCTGTGAAGACTTTAATAAAATGTCAAAACGAAGCATTTTCCAGTAGTCTGAAGTCCTGCGGGCACGAGTTAATTGAACAAACTAAAAGATGATGCTGCGTGGTGTTACACAAAGTACTGTATGGGAACACAGTGAACAGGGAGAGCCGAGGGAAGGAGCCAGCGAGAGGAGAACCTTTTAATTGATGTTGGTGAACTGTATCCAACATGTCCGTCATTACGGTGTATAAACTGCAGAGAGTAATGTTGGGAGGTTTATGAGGATTTTAGCCCAAGTCGGTCTAATTAATGAGGGAATAAAAAAACATCAGCACAATGTCGTGCACGTTACAGCCTGAATCCAAATGGCTCAAAGAGTCTCAGTGCTCAGCTTCGACCTGTGCTTTGAATTCACTCCATTGTCAAAGGGGCGTCAACAAGTAAATCCATCGCACACAGATCCTGGTGGCAAATTAAAGGAGAGTCTGAATTAGTTGCGTGCATCTAATCCAGATGTTAGACAATGTAAGACAATATACCATTTGTTAAAGTCAAATACTGACTTTTTTCATGGCTTCAGAGGAAAAGAGTAGCTTCCCAAAAGCTAATTTGGAGCATCAGACACACTACTTGTACACAGTACACAATACTTTCCCCAGGAGGATCTCCAGCCTCCTGTTTCTGAGTTGTGAGCCTGGCGCTTGGGGAGAGATGTCTTTGGCAGTGTTTTTTTAATCCCACAGCTGTGTAATGGTACAGTAACAGCTTGATTCAGCCTCTTTAAAGACCGTCAGGTGTAAGGCACGTTTCAGATCATGTCTTCAAAAGCTCCGCCACCTGGGGCCGAATAGAAGAGGAGAGAAGGTCTGCCTGTCGGTTTTTCCTGCTGGCTCTGTGTCACCTGTGATACGGCTGTATGCATGACTGAAGCTCCACCAAAACCTGTTTGTCATATGGAAAACAGTTTGGAGAAAACTTGTTTGGTCTTACAAACAGCTGCAACATTGAACTATAGTTAACAAAAAAGTCTCTGAAATATGCTGGTGAGTGTTGTTTGTGTTTCGTGTCATGGTTCCCAAATAGCCTCCCTGAAGTCAATTGTCTGTAATATGTGCATTACATGCACTAAGTGTTTCAGTCAATAGATGTCCTTTAGATGAATGTCAGCAGTGAAGGACCAGCATCGCTTTAGAGAGCACAGACCAGCTTTGGTGCGACATGGAATTTCATACCACATTAAACACTTTGTCGTGTTTGACGACAAAACTTTTTCTCGCTTCTGAGACCGTCCTGGGCAGACAGCTCGACTGACAGTTTAAATGATAGTGTACCTTTCTCACTTTTTCTCTGGCGCTTCACGTCTCTTGACTCTGGCCTTGAATGAAAAATGAGGCGAGAAGAATTCTGCTGAAATGTCACCTCGTGTTTTTTGCTTTAGGCATCGTGTGTCATCACAAGGACACATGGATTTAAAACCTCTGGAGGGTGCTTCCCTTCACGTGTGAACAATGTGGGGGAAA